GTTTATCCATATATCGTTTGATTTGAAAATCATATCGACTTTTTGAAGTAAAATGAATTTTGGACTTACCACTGGTGTACAATTTTGCTGCCCTTTTCTCTGCTTCTTCTTTAGATAGAGGGTATATAATTTGATCTCTCAACGTCCCTAAACATGTATAAGGTCGCTGTGGGACAAAAAAGATGCCATTCCCTGATCCAAGTTCTTCGATATCTAATGATGGTTTGGCAAGTCTTCCACATACAGTGGGCCAGATATCTCTAAGGACTCTAAACACAGAAGTCTTTCCACTACCATTTGGACCTGAAATGTTTGTTAGTGTTAGCTCTGGGCTCATGCAAATAAGCTCAATGAAAAAGATTAATTCACAAACCTGTGACGAGCAGGCTTTTCCCTGAAAATATTTCGCAGGACAATTTGCTAGCCATCAATTTCTGAGCAGGGGTAATGATATCCACCTCCGAAAAGGAAATTAGATCTTGAGAATCCACACGGCTTGTGTGATTTTCTGAGGTGACCCCTGAAAATAGTTGGAAAAAACGAAAATGATCAACACAAGTACAGATATTCTCTATAACACATGTCTAATCCTAATAAATAATAAATCCTAAGCATATGAGAGAACACATCCAGCGGATAGAGTGCATGAAAAATCATAGCGCCTTGCCAAAGTGTGAGCATAGAGATGCGGTGTAGTACCTGACTGAGAAGCATCCAAAAACTCATCAAGCTCGAAAATTCTATTAATACCACCAGAGAGCTCAAGGAACTTCTTGTGTAGTTCAAGAATATCGCCAAACGCCATAAAGCTTTGGGAGACAACAGAAGCTAGATACCGCAATGCATGTGCCAATTCACCTGGTATCAAAGGCAGAAAGTGTTATATAGAGAACGGATATACTTAATTGGTTCACGTTGTCAAGTACTGTTGGGAAAAGGTGGTAACTGATGTTTGTACTACAATGAAGGGCGACAGATCGTCACCTTGAGTGGAGACAAGTGCTCTGTCTCCCTTGTGTTCTAGGGCATACAACAAACTCAATCCCCAAGTCACATTATTCGGAAGTTGCTTTGTCACAAAATCATCAAGTATGCCATACAACCATTTCTTCCTCAAGAGCATGAGAGAGTGGTCCAGTAGTGCCCTGAATTTTGTGTCAACCATCTGCTCCATGGAAAAAAAAACATAAGGGCAGATTCACCAATGAGACGTGTTAAAGCTCCAGGCACACAAGTGAAACCGCATTTGACATGAAAAGGCCATCATCGCATAAATTAGTAAAAACATTTCCACGAATCTTTCTTATATTTCACTTCTTGTAGCTCTGCTTCATAAATAGCTAGCCCCAAATTCCAACAGCTATAGCTAGGGAAGATAAGACACTTACAGCTTTTTCTCGAGCTCCACCTCCAAAGAATGCAATTGATTCGGCATGAGTGTTCAGCCTCTCGTGCATAAACCTGCGTAAGCAGCAAAAAGTTGGTCCAGATAGTCGCTCTAAAGAAATCAATCTTCTATAAAAATGAAGGAAACGTACAAAACTTACCTAAACTTCCCCTCAAGCTCCTGTTCTTCACCGGCTAGATCACCGAAATCGGGAGCAACATGTCTCAGAAAACCCAGACCAAGTAACATATATGCGTAAAGTATGGCAACTCCCCTCTGACCAGTCAATAGCTTCATCCTCCAGGTGAACCTTCATTTTTTTTGTTTGTTGTATGCATAATTATAACTCAAACCAAGAGCCATGAAACAATTATCAGAATAATAATCCAACAAAATGTACTTACCAAAGAATGTCAACCGATGGCTTTACCATTCCAGTAAGAAGTCCGGACAAGTCAGTGGTTAACTTTTCCAGATCACGAGTGAGTCTCTGGTCCGCATCAATACTATTGCCTGACATGTGAAAAACCTGAATAAATATGAAACCAATGAGCTCTTTAGTTTATCTAAATTTGCAACGTCAACTTACAAAAAAAAGAGAGAGAGAGTAACAAACGGCCTCTATGAGGTGTATGGATCTGTTAGAATCTCAGGATATTTCTTATACAAGTGTAGATAACACATCATGCTTTCTTTGAGGTCAAGTTGCCTTAAATAGCACAAGTTTATAGTCATAATTCACAATGCATGAATAGAGCATATTTGCATAGTATATGTGATCCTTATAGATTTGTATTGACCTTGTAAAACGCATTATTTCTTAAGTAATTCCGTAGCAGATGTTGAGTCAAACGAATCCTCCACCCTAAAGCTAGTCTTTGTGTCAGATGCCTGAAAAGAACGTAACCAAAAAAAGTTAGGTGAAACCACATCGGTGAGGGGTTTCTTAACTTAACTTTTTTTATTAACAGACAAAAAAGAAAACACAACACGATGAGATTTTTTCATGTAGCAATTTATAAGTCGTGACAAGGAGATGGTAGCTGGTGGGACTTCGAGACATTTAAAAATGCATAAAAAGGAAAGATTACCTTAGTGAAGGAGCAATGAAAGAAGATGCACCACTCTGGAGAATACTCAAACCAATCAAGCGAACAAAGGCTGCCTTATCTTGCTCCAAGACATACTTCACAGTGGTCCCTGAAAAAATCATATGCGGTTGTTAGAGAGGGAGCCGTATCAATAAAACTGATCAGGTAACAGAAAGGAGTATGTTTACCATTCAAAGAGGCTATTCGGTCAGAGATCAGTGTTCTTGAGACGACAAGACAAGCAACAGCAAGCAGTTGTGCTCCTTGTTTGTCAAATAGAGTAGGTATCTGAAACGTAACAATGAAGTGGTCAGCTATTTTGAGAAGTACAATATCAGCTACCATAAGGATTGATGCAGGGGGAAGAAGTTAGCCAACTCGATATTGCAGAAAAAATAGGTGGCCTTCAAAGGAAACTTAAGAAATGGTAAGCTGGAGAGAATGGAAGAGAAAAAAGTGAATGATTGAATGCAGCTAAGGAATGAATATGTATTATTTTATAGGTCAACAACAATTGCCACACAAGTGTTTTCAATAAAAATTCACACTAGTAACTCAAGCTTACCAATATGTTTAACATTGCAGCTACTCTTGATGGTAACGCCTTAGGGGATGTTTTAGGTTGAGGAAAACGAGGCAACACAACACTTTTATCAACAACAGGTGATTTTGTAATTAACTGTGTCAGGTACGACTGACCCTTTGAATTAGTAGTTGCAGCTCCCTACATAGCACCAAGTAAAAAGTTTATAACCACAAAAAAGCACCCCTCAAAGAAATACAAAGAAAAACGGCTGCGGACCTTTCTAGCTGCAGCAAACGCTCGTTGAACAACCATCGCATCATTTTGCCGATCTGTATCTGAACTTTTCTCTGAATCAATTCCAGCGTCCGTCAGAAGTGCAGTGTCATCCCTGAATGTTTAGTCATTTTAATATGTAAATAAAAAAAAAAAGTCTTTGATAATAATCCTCATAAACATGGTTAAGAAAAAAATTCGAACCTCTTGTAGTGAACACTCCATCCCCCTTCTCCGTCT